CTTAACATCAAAATCATAGGTGCTCTCTATCTCTTTCACCCAAGGACAAGACACAAGAGCTTTGCCCCATGTCCAATCAGCAATTGCAACTTCTAGATTATCCTCATCAGAGTCTACATCGGATGGATCAGACATAGCTACAGTACCCTTTGAATATTTCTCTTTGCGCATGGTCCATAGCTGGCCTTCAAAAGTAGACACTCTCTGAAGCAAGTGAGCTAAATTATCAAGTTCTTGGCCATTGAACTACTCCCTGATTACTGGGGACATCCTTTGAATGGCCAATTCAGCCAATTGGCCATCTCACAAATTTAATGAGCAGCAATGACTCCTTACTTCTCTGAACCTTTGAATGAACTCAGAGCCTGACTCATTATTCCTCTGCCTCATGCTTGTTAAATCTGTAATCTTCTTCTCCCCTATCCCATTGTAGAAATATGCATGAAACTTGTTCTCTAGATTGTCCCATCTAGTAATCGAGTTTGGTTCAAGCGAGGAAAACCAACTGAAGGCCGGTCCGGATAGAGACAAGGGGAAGAATCGAACTTTATGTGCTTCTTCAATAGATGTGTCTCCAAGCTAAACAAGATAGCGGTTGATATGCTCCATGGTTGACATCTCATCTATCTCGGTGAATTTGGAGAAATCGAGAACCCTGTAGCATGAAGGGAGATGCACGATATCATACCACACTGGATACGGACGCTGGTAAGAGCCAATCTAATTTTTAGGCTTTAACCCAAACTGGCTCTGCATCACAACTGTTATCCTATTGATTAACTCATCAGCGTTCATGCCAGCAACCTGTTGTCTCGGCTGACCTTGGATCTAAACTTGAGAGCCTTGTGCTTGGAGTTGTTGACCCTGAGCCTGAGACTGTTGTCCCCAAACCTGAGATTGCTGTCCCTGGGCCTGAAGCTGCTGAAGTTGTTGTGCATTATAATTGTAGGGATTCTGATTCCCAAGATGTGGCAAAAGATCATATGTGCTGGCATCAGAAACCAAATGATATCCTTCAGTGTAGTCGATCTGAGCATTATGGGATGCATATCCTTGCAATTGACTGTTGTAATAATTTGGATCAACATCATCGATGATCCTTTGCACTGATGGAGTAATTTTATAGGCCAACTGAGGCGTCTGGTAGGAAGTGCTGATTCTCCCCTGAGCCGGTCATAGCCCAACCTATTGAGTAGCTGGCAAGGTTGGCTGCTGGACTACATACGTCTGGGTCTGTCCAGTAAGAAGCTGAGTTGTCTGTGTAATAGTGGCACTTGGTGACTGTTGTGGTGGTAGCTATCACCCTGTCATTTGACCTTGCCCTCCTACTGTTGGCAGGGCCTGTCCTTGCCCCCTTACCATTGGCTGAGCTTGATCTTGTCCCCCTACTGTTGGATGAGCCTGAAGATCTTGAGCTTGTCCTCCTAGAAGCTATTGTGCTGATGGCTGTTGATACTGTCCACCATTTGGCTGCTGGCTAAAACTAGATACACTGTTTCCAATAGCCAAAGGATTATAGCCATTGAAATATGATGGTCCCACCTGATCAACTAGCGCTCCAAAGAAAACTTCTTTCATATAACATTGCCAATTGTATTTGCTAACACCTAATTGTGATTTGTAAAGGATTCATCAATGGTTTTGTGGACCATCTGGGCAACAATTCTAGCTTTAGCTTCCTCGTTCGGATCATTCTGTCCATGCAGGAGAACTCTTGGCAATGGGGTCTTCTGAATGACTAAATCACGTGTCTTACTGTAAGACATCAGGTACTTCTCTCGAAACTCTTCCGTGGCCTTGTCGATGAGCGCCCTCTGATCGTCGGGCAAGTCTTCGAGGTTGACCTCGAGGATGGTGTCATTGTTCATGTTGACAATTGTGGTTCCACCGGGTGTGCCAACTCTATGATGACAGCAAAACATGACGGGTCGAGCCTCGCCGCCGACACACGAAGCAAGCCGGGAGAAACCACGTGGAGAAGATCCCAAGCTCTCCCCGGGCTTAAGGAAATACAGGACCGGATGGTTGTGACCTAGGGCGTGCTAGTCAATTTGACCCTGTAATTGACAAGGAGGAAAGTTTGATCAGTAATTTAAGGTGGAACATACTGGTGTTGCTCCAGACAGTTCCAAATGTGTGGCTAAGTAGCCGATGATATAAGGTTATCGACTAAAGAGTCGATATCCAGCATGTTCATGATGCAAAGCGAATAAAATAAGCATGTCGGCAATTATCAAATATTTGAGTATATGGATCTTAATTAGCCGATGATCATGAGAAGATGCAAAGATGTGATGGATAAACATGAAAGCATCTATATTAATTGAGAATCATACTAGCTTTTAACCAAGATAAGAACAAGTATAAACGTATGAGTAGCTAGTGTATTCTCAATAAGCAGGCTATTGGCTAAAATAGACGATTCCAATGAAAGTAGGCTCATAACATGCAAGCACTCAACCATTGAACATGGACAAATCTATAAACCTATCAAATCTAATCTATTATCTCTAACAGTGGGGTTCGACCGGATCGATGGAAGCCATAATAAAGATAACCAATTAAACCTTCAAAGAATACGAGTTGGTTCACACTCAATCGAAATCGTGAAAGCATGTTACGATCGTGAAAGCGCAGGCGATCGGCTAAATAGCCGATGCGAACATAGCATGCAGCCAGAGGCTATCTGTGACCATAAGTGAGACTTGTTAATTGATAATTTCTGATCTATAGTGCTAACAGTGGGGGTCGACCGGATCGATAGCAGCCATAATAACAGTTCTAAACTGGACCTCATCAACTAACAAGCTTACTTAGGGTCAAACATGCCTTGACCACACGCTATCTTCGATCAAGATTGGGACAAAATGACTAATCTAGCCGAAACCATCGTCAAAGTGAGATCTAAAAGGGATAAAGCAACAAGACGATAGTTTAAAGAGATATGAAGCCGATCTGTTTCAATCTTAATCGGGTAAGGGGTGATGTTGTTACAAATAGTAAGAATACTAGTTATAACAAGATCGATAACTAGCAAATCTACTAAAAAACCAAGGAAAACCTACCAATCTTAATAGATTTAACCGATAACTAATTCATCAAAATTTGTACGAGATCGAGTCGGACCGATGCAATCTTACAAATTTTGATAAGAATCGAAGGGTAATAACTAACTTATACAAAGCTTACAAGATGTCGAGCCGGACCGATGCAACCTTATAAACAAAGTATAAGTCGTGACGGATACTCACAATCAAACCAGAGGTCAGGCCTAACCGATGCAGTCCTGCTTGCCCGAAGAACTCATCAAGATCGACTCTACTCCTACTCCTAAGGGGTAGCGTAAGCCAAAAAGTAAAGGTACGGGTTTTTGATTGATCGCAAAGATGTCCATTACAATAGCCGGGTTCAATATTTATACTCGAGGCTTGACTATGAGTCCTGGTCGAACAAGACTGGTTACAAAACTTAGAAAAGAAAACAGAATATCCTAAATTAAGATAACTTGGACTCCAAACTTCCCTTTCTAGGAAGTCGACCATATCTTCTTGCTTCAGGCCACTCTATTCCCCATCGTCAAGGCCCATTCTTGAAATGATGACATCATGCCACCCAACTGATCCCGATGGCAGCTTTCTTAGCCGATTTTACGAATATTTCGGCTTTCTTCAATGGATTTCAAAATCCGGGGTTCTCACGTATGCTGGTCAAAATTTGGTGTCAACACTAAGGATCCACGTCAATGGGGACATAGGTTGCCGGCAAACAACCGAACCTCGGAAAAAAAAAATACTTTGTGTCACTTGCCCTCGGTGGTTCGATCTCTCAACACATGCATTTACATTTCATATTTTTTGCTTGTGTTGTTTGCTTGGTAGCCTAGTTTATCTCTAGTAAGTAGTGTAGTTGTTGCCCTTTTTGTTAGCTTACTAGTTACTAGGTGGTAGTTCTAGTTGATTGCTTGTTTGAGTATTTAATTACTTGTTCCTGCAACTAGGCTTGTGTAGGGGGTTTGCTTTGTATTGTATAGGTTAGGTAAGGTCATGGTTATTGGGATAACCTTTTATTCTAACACTTTATCTAGTATTTTGTGCTTACAGAAATTTTATTAGTTTATTCACACCCTCTAGATATCCATAGATCTTTTTACCTGCACCGCAACAGAGTTTGACGGACTGGAAGTGAGGTCGATCCCATACACCGGCGATAGGGATCTATCGTGGTGTGGATACCACCGTCTGTGCTCCAAGTGAGGTCACTACAGTAGTTCCTCACCAGTCAGTGATGTAAAAGTAGGGAATAAGTAAAAATTGTTTTGATAGTAGTGCCATGTATTGGGACGCTGCAAAAAACATGTTTTCTACCATCTATGAAGCACGCGTTCAATCGAAGGATTTTGTGCTCTTACCTAGTACATTCATGGGTGCTAGTTTGTCATCTCTGGTTTTGCCATCTAGAGTTGCCCATCGAGAAAGAAGAGATACACGAAATGAGAGACTATGAACTCTAAATTAAATGATTATTGATGACCTAATCCCTTGGTCCCAAAATAAATCAACTCCAAAGATTACACTAAGTTAAACTTTTTTAAGTCCGATCAGCTTTATAATTAAGTAATTAACCAAGAATAGCAATGTTTATGACACTAAATAAGTATAGATTATGTAAATATATGTGAAGGTGTATCTAGTGATACCTAATTTGATGTTATAAGTATTGGTTCTTTTTCTATACACTTGGCTAAACTTAAAATAATTTCACTTGGAACAAATCTAGAAATTGATTTATTTTGTGACAGAACCCGAGTAGTTCACATATATACGGAGACAAAATTATCATCAAAACCAAGGGTCCCGTGCAGGCCGAGAAGAGACGATAATCGTGGTGCCCGAGGACAAATACGGACAGGCATGGAAGGAAGAATCGATGCCTATACATGCTGTATATGTGATAATGTCGATAGAGTGACAGTACAGTTGGGTAACTCCTCGGATTCACTCATGGCGGCGACTGGATCGGGCAGCGGCGGCAGACAGAATGAGGAGGCGAGTCGGCGGTGGAGCCTGGCCGGCAAGACGGCACTCGTCACCGGAGGAACCAAAGGGATCGGGTAGGAGGATTACGTGCGTATCAACCATCCATGCATATCGAGTTCATGCTCATGTCGATCTTCGATGCATTGCATATATGATATATGACATAGGCTTGCGATCGTGGAGGAGTTGGCAAGCCTTGGCGCCAGGGTGCACACCTGCTCCCGCACCGCCGGCGACCTGGACGCATGCCGGCGCCGCTGGGCCGACAAGGGCCTACTCCACGCCGGCGACGACGTGATCACCACCTCCGTCTGCGACGTGTCCTCGGAGCGCGACCGGGAGAGCCTGGTGGCCACCGTGCGCGACCTCTTTCGCGGCAGCCTCCACATCCTCGTCAACAACGCCGGCGGATCCCTGTACAGGCCGGCGGCGGCCACCACGCCCGACGACTACGCCCGCGTCATGGCCACCAACCTCGACTCGTGCTTCCACCTCAGCCGCCTCGCCCACCCGCTCCTCCGGCAGGCTGAGGCGGACGGCGGCGCCGTGGTGGTGCACATGTCCTCCGTGGCGGCCTTCGTCGCGTACCCAGCGCTGTCCGCCTACTCGGTCAGCAAGGGCGCCCTGCAGCCGCTCACCAGGAGCCTCGCCGCCGAGTGGGCGCCGCACGGCGTCCGCGTCAACTGCGTCGCGCCGGGGGTCATCGACAGCACGGGCATCTCCGGCACGACGCTGGGCGACGCCGGCAGGGCGCGGAGGCTGGCGGAGATGGAGATGTCACGGGTGCCCATGCGCCGCTTCGGCACGCCGCAGGAGGTGGCCGCGCTCGTTGCCTTCCTTTGCATGCCCGCCGCCTCCTACATAACTGGTCAGGTCATCTGCATCGACGGCGGACGAACCGTTGCCGCCAAACTGTGACTGTCGTCAACTGTATTGCACCTGCAAATTTAATTGAACTCAACGTACCCATATGATGCAAGTTTCTTTGTCACGTTCATGCCGAGGACTAGAATACAGTATTTGCATCCATGCTGCGAATTGAATTGATATAAAGAGATCCAGAATCGATTACCAACAAAATACACAAGCAATCAATCCTTGTCATCCCAGACTTTTATGAACAGTTCTAGGGTGCAAAGCTACTCCCACCGTCTCTGACGGTTCAATTCAGATGGTTATTACTGCTGCCAATGCCAGGCCATTCCCACATGTATACAGCCCGTCGACGTTTCTTGATTGTAATCCCTCTCCTGCTTCTACTTCTCCTTCTCCTTCTCTTCTTCCTCTCTTTCTTTGTTCCTTAATTGTATTGTGACGATTCACTTTCATATTTTTATATAATGCAATTTTGACTCTAGGGGATCCTCGCCCCTCCAGTATTCCTAAAAAAAATCTCAACCTATAGTATCGATCGTCAGGTGATAACTAACTGTTTCTAGGGTGCATCCATCTCTCCTTCCATGAGCGCAACTCTATCGCCAGTCTTGCTGATGTCTTCACTGAGCAGCTTCCACAATTTTTACAGACTCTTCCCTTCATTCTCCTCGATGGTCTTTGCCTTGCGATAATCCTTCTTGTCCGTCCTGAACAACCTGAAACACAACCAACGATGAGCTTGTTATGTAATGGAGTTCAGAGCCCCTGCACAACTCAACACAGCGATGCCACGGATTCTCACCAGTCCATGTAAACAAATGTCGAGGCATAGTTCCCTGAGTTTGTGTACACAACACACGGTGATGGTAGTCATGGAAGTCAGAGCTATTCATCATGACAAAAGTTCAGCACACGTTCAGCTTCAAATAAACAAACACAATCCCTCTCTTAGGGGCCGGGGGGAACAATGCTCTAGCTTACTTACCCGCCATACAGCGCCAGGAAATTTGATGCGCTCCATGGGAAGTGATAGCCGCTGTGAGCTTCAACTGTCTCCAATACCCTCAGCAGCATCCACAGCCACAGGGTGAACAGATGAGTAGTAGCAAGATAAGCACAGTGCTCATTGCAGAACTAAGATGACCCTTGTCATTCTTGACTCAAGTGATCCGTAAGGCAGGAAACACCAAGATTAGATTCTTGTGTCCTGCTGTTTTTCCATCACAGGATAAACTATATTACATTACCCAGACAGCATTGTTTTAATTCATTCTCTCATAAATGGTTACTGATCCAGCTTTAACTTTTACTAAGCAAAGGGAAGGATAGGTGAAACAGGTAAAGTAATTACAATGGCTTACAACTTGTAACAGCACACACAACTAAAATCTTACCTTGCCAGAATTAAACAACAATGTAATTAGGCTCATTCTCAATACTTTGTGCAACCAGTAAACTAGGACAAATTCGCATAAACAGTAAACCACCAGCTCATAAGAAGAGTAAAGCAGGGCAAGACAAAAGGCAATTGGCACTGCATACTCTGTATAGAGCACGCTAATTGAGTGTAGATTGGACCCAGACACTAAGTACCCTGTATAATAATTAGCTAGCAAGATGGAATAATTAACATTGTAAAAGCAGATTAAGTTGCTGGGTGGCTGGGTTAGAAGGTAAAATTCAAAATCCCCCCGTGCCTGTTCAACTGTTCATGGTGAGGCACAAGGGTGATGTATGCTACAAATCATGGTGATGTCTTCCATTGTTCTGATGGGACGTGCGTCAATCTCAAACTCTGTTGTGGATATAAATCCGAATTAGAACGTGAACTCTAACAAAGAGCCACAGAACGATCGAAGTTGCTGGAAAACGGAGACTGCCTTGCTCTGGTATTTAAGAATTTATTACAGGTTACAAAACAAATGCAGAGCACATAATAAATGGACAATAAAGGGGGCAAATGAAAGGGAGAACTGAAAGAACAGAATAATGCCATGCCTACTTTTTAGAAGTAGTGATGGATAATAAGTCCTTGTTTAGTTTCCCAAAAAGTGCTACAATAGCCATCACATCGAATCTTGCGATATGTGCATGGAGCATTAAATGTAGACGAAAAAAAACTAATTGCACAGTTTGGTTGGAAATCGTGAGACGAACATTTTGAGTCTAATTAGTCCATGATTGAATAATAATTGTCAAATAAAAACGAAAGTACTACAGTAATCAAATTCTCAAATTTCTCCCGACTAAACACAGCCTAAGCAAACTGTGAATTGGAACAAGCTGTAGGTTATGGTTGGTCAAAGAGTGCAAGGTAACATGACGAAGGAAACCTGGAGTAATGGAGCGACCAGTACAAGTACTGGCAGATCTTGTCGAGGATGTTGGTGGGGATCTCCGGGAAGCGGACCTCGCCCTGTCGCGTCTCCGAGAAGCCACCTGCGAGGATGGCGAGGAGAATGGGCGTGATGTGAGGACGGCGCGCGAATGGAACGCACCCTACCACTACCGTTAGATAATCCACTCTTTTCTTATATGAACATATAGCAAGGTAAGACGACGCTGAACTGACCCTTTGTTGTGGTACTATAGCCATTGTAGAGGTAGGCGTCAAACGGCTCACCTGCCGGACTGTAGCCACATGCAGGGACAGGCGCAGAAGTCAGTCCTGCTGTGTTATCTAGTCACTGTTACATCAGGACAGCTATACTAGAACCAGATGGATAGAGTTGTATATATAGTTTGTCACTGCAACTCAACGAAGAGAGTTCCAATTTGCCATCTCCTATACATGAATCCGGCCAATGCTGGTGCTTGTACTGTGTGTATATGCTCTATTCTCCGTCTTCTTCAACCTCTAGCCATAGTGTGTGTCGGACAGCCTCGGTCGTGCTCGGCAAGACTGGTGAGTGGTCAACTCACCTGAGCCAATGCTCCTGTGGGCTAACAAGTGGTATCGGAGCCATACAAACGCCGTCGCTGGACTAACCGCTAGCGATGACGAACGGTTCGGAAATGGACGACAGCAGTGGCACTACTATGGCTGGCCAGCCACGACCGGAGGTCGTTGTTCGCACGGTGTGGGAGGTCAGTGGCACCAGTTGGCCGACGCTGACTCGCACCAACTATGGAGAGTGGTTGGTGACCATGAAAGTCAAGCTCAGAGCCCGACGACTCTGGAATGCTGTTGACAAGGGCACCGACAATAAGAAAGATAACATGTCAGCGTTGGAGGCTATCCTCGCTGCTATACCGGCGGAGTATAGGGAGCCGTTGGGGGAGAAGAGCTCTGGTAAGGAGGCGTGGGAGGCTATTGCGGCGATGCGCGTCGGTTCCGACCGCGCAAAGAAGGCGACGGCCCAGCTTCTGAAGCAGGAGTACGCCAACCTCAAGTTCAAGGATGGTGAAACGGTGGAGGATTTCTCCCTCCACCTACAGACGCTCATCAACAAGCTGAAGAGCCATGGCGTCACCATCGACGAAGAGGAGGCGGTCTCCAAGTACCTCCACTCCATGCCGGCAAAGTACATCCAGATCGCTCTCTCCATAGAGACGATGCTGGACTTATCCACCCTCACCATTGAGGATGTGATAGGCGGTCTGCGAGCGGTGGAAGAGCGCCTAGAGCAGGCGACAGCAACGAAGGATAGCGGCAAACTGCTGCTGACAGAGGAGGAGTGGGCTGCTCGGAGGAACTCCGGGGTAGCCTCCTCCAGTCGCGGTGGCGATGGCAAGCGCTGCAGCAAGGCTTCTTCGAAGAAGAAGAAGCAGGTCGATCCCAACGTCTGTCGACGCTGCGGGAAGACGGGCCATTGGGCACGAGAGTGCCCAAATCGTAAGCAGGAGAAGAAGGCTGAGGCACATCTACCGCAAACTGATGATGATGATGAGGCCACTATCCTGATGGCGATGTTCTGTGCATTGCACGATGTCGAGGCCGAGGAGAAGACAGAGGCGACGACGGTGGAAGGACCTGGAAAGGCCCTGAAGGCTGTCAACCTCGACGAACCGCGCGCCCAAGTCCACCTCGGACGTGTGGGCGCCGACCAGGAGCTGCGGTGGTATATGGACTCTGGTGCCAGCAACCACATGACGGGCTACAAGGCAGCCTTCTCCGAGCTCGACGACGATGTTACCGGTACGGTGAAGTTTGGTGACATCTCAAGGGTGGCAATCCAAGGGCGCGGCACCATCATCTTCAGGTGCCAGAACAGGGAGCACCGTGCGCTAACGGATGTATATTACATCCCGCAGCTGCGTTCAAGCATCATCAGCATTGGTCAGCTGGATGAGCGTGGTAGCGAGGTACTGATCAAGGACGGAGTCCTTAGGATCAGGGACTGGGAGCAGCGACTTCTCGCCAAGGTGAAGAGGTCCCAGAACCGATTGTACCTGCTCGACCTGAAGGTAGAGCCGTCGGTATGCCTGGCGTCAAGGCACACCAAGGAACCGTGGCTGTGGCATGCCCGATTCAGACATCTCAGCTTCGATGCGCTTGGTCGGCTAGAGAAGATGGTCTGAGGGTTACCCCACATCAAGCACGGAGGCGAGCTGTGTGACAGCTGCCTGGCCGAGAAACAGAGGAGGCTACCATTCCCAAAGGAGGCCAAGTATCGCGCAGGACGCTCTCGAGCTTGTCCATGGCGACCTCTACGGGCCGATCATGCTAGCTACAAATGGTGGTCGGTGGTACTTCCTCCTGCTCGTGGATGATTGCAGTTGCTACATGTGGCTGCAACTCCTGACGAGCAAGAACGAAGCGGCGATGGCGATCAATAAGTTCAAGATGCACGCGGAGGCCGAGAGCGGCAAGAAGCTCCGCGTGCTGAGGACTAATCACGGTGGTGAATTCACTTCGGTGGAGTTCACTGCGTACTGCACAGATCAGGGAGTGGTACGACACCACACCATGCCGTACTCGCCACAACAGAATGGCATGGTGGAGAGGCGGAACTAGACGGCGGTTGGCATGGCTCGATCCATGATGAAGGCCAAAGGCATGCCGGCAAGGTTCTAGGGTGAGGCAGTGACCATGGCGGTGT